AAAAAGTTAGCAAGTCGTTTCTTGAATTCTACTATTTTCCATTTTTGCTTGCTTTACCAACATATTTTTTGTTTATTAATTACAACAAGGAATATTAGGTACATAATTTTTTTTCAATAAACATTTGTGATACAAGAGTTGTTAATTAATTGTTTTGACAAGCATACAAAAAATGAATTATTTATTTAAGAACTCCAGTTTGTTAATAGGTTGTAGTTAGGTCATATCATAAAATAGTCTTCTGATAAATGATTGATGTTGATTTAGAAAAAAGATGCTAGATATAATTAAGTCGTGAACAAATAATTATTATACTGTAACAATTGAATAAGTTCGATCTATCAAAATGACTCATTATTTCAACATCAAATTTGAAATATAGAATTTGAAAAATGAAATATAAGTTTTTGAAGTTTTTCAAATTTTCATGTTTAAATATATTAAACATAACAAATAATTAACAATGAACACTTGCTAGAGTTCTCACTACTACACAAGATAATTCAAAAGGAGCTAGCAAGTTGTTTCTTGAGTTCTCCCTTTTTCCATTTTTGTTTGCTTTACCTACCTATTTTTTGTTTATTTATTATAGGAAGGAAAATTATTTGTACTACTATTCTTTCCAATAAAAATTTGAGAAATAAGAGTTGTTAATTATCTGTTTTGACAAGCGTACAAAAAATGAATTTACTATAATTATTCGAGAATAATTTTAGAGATCTCCATCGAGGTTTCACTCTATAACACTCACTTTTTCTATGGTTTATGATATTACGTTCACCTTTTTTATTTTGATTTTTTTTAAGTCATTCTTTAAACCTATTTAAAATAAATATAAATAATAAGTTATATTAATTTCTTCATATTATATTAAAAAATGACTTGTTTAATAAATACTTTAAAAATAAATCAATATGAAAAACGACCAATTCAGTCATAAATTTTTAATATGAGAAACGACTAATGAGATGTCATGCAAAACCTATTATAGGATTCTTTTTCGCCAAAAAAAAAAATCATTAAAAAAAAATTCGAAATAAAATATAGTTATGATAGAAGAGAAGAAAATAATGAACAACTCCTAACAAAAAAAAGGACCAATTCGGTCATAGATTTCTACTCAAATTAAATTATGAAATAATATTTGGTTAGTAACTCAAATGAAGTGATTATTATATCGGATTAACTCATTATTTCGATATCAAACAAGTGAAATATCGAATATAAAAAATGAAACATAAATTTTAAAAGTTCTTCAAATTTTCATACTCAAATATAATTTCGAATTCTAAACATTTTTTTCCACTTCTTACTTTAAATAAATACTATCTTTTTCAAAATTTCAATCAATTCATATCCAGACGCCTAAAATGTTTTCTCATTAGTTATGATAATGATCTTACACCATTTTTTTTTAATATTAGAAAATGTAAAATATAAAAGGATGAAAGAGAGAGATGGTGGGGGTGGGGGGACTACTGCGTACCTTCTAATTATGGAAAATACAAAATTAAATTGACCCAATGGAATATCACAAGTCAAAGTCTTTCAGAAAAAATAAAAAAACAAATCTCTATCTAGAAATAAAAAAAGTTGTGGTCAAGCTTAATGGAAAAAAGAAATATTTGAATTCAACGTTGCATGTTCCTTTTAATTACTAAAATGTCATTCCATTTACATTATTTATTTCCACATTTTCTTATTTATTTTTATTCACCCACTTCCAACTTTTTGCATTATAAGAAATAATAATTATGTAATACTTTTCGATATGTTAAAAATGATAAATAAAACTAAAAATAAAAATATATTTCTAATATAATAAACAAGAAAAAATAGACGAATGAAATAGATCGGTCTCTAATATAATACGAACCACACTTATCAATGTTGTTATCATTTTTGAAATATAATATAGCTCTAAAAAAAAATTAAACGAAAAGAAATGTGTGTATAAAATGTTTTAAATTTCGAGTTATTAAATAAATCCCGACATCCTAAGATAATTAATGAATGTCTTGTCATAATTTTAGTCCATGTTTGTCCATTCTTAGCAACCATATTTAATACTAGTAATATTTAGTACTCTAGTACATACAGACCCGTTTGGCCTCAAGAATATTTGGAAAAAACTTAATAAAAAATTAAGAAGTGATATTTAGTCATATAACTTGGTAAATATATTTACCAACTATTCTTTTCTTTTTTACCAACTATTCCAAGTTCCCAAATTGTAGAAAAAATTAGTGTTTCGGCCAAGTTCATATTTGAGAATTAAAAAAAATTTAGAAATTACCTCAAACTTTATATTTTATAGAAAAATATCTATTATTTATGAATTCCAACTAATATTTGTTACTACCTCCTCCGGAAAAGTTTGAGTGATAAAATTGAGAAAAAAGAATAATTTGTGTTTAATTAGTTATAATTATAACTGAATTAGTGACAAGTTTGAGTATGCGATTAATGTATTGTCTTGCCTATATAGTTATTTTGTTATTGTTGATTGTTATCAATTTTTAACGGAACATAGTTATTATAAAATGATAATATAAATTTATGAGTATTTTAAATAATTTTTAGAATTTATGGGTATAAATCATATTTTTTGAAATAGTCAAAATATTGTTTGGAAAATTTGGGGCCAAACACTTGGTGAAACTTCACCGAAATATGATTTGCCTAGAATATTTGAAAAGTTAGGACCAAACGCTAGCTGTATTTCCTGAAAATCATATTGTGTAAATAATTATGATTTTTCATAATTTAAAATAAGTAAATATTCAGAGTTTATGAAAATTGTTGCCTTTTTTTTCTTTCATATTTATCATTTATTCGCTAAGACTCTTTAATTATTTTACATTTTCTAATACACAATAATAGTATAACAATACTAAAAAATAAACTTTAATTTATGTCCTTATTTTGAAATAAGATGGGTCTGTCAAATATTATGCTCAGTCAATTATCTCAACTGCCAAGAAAAGAAATTAACACGTGAAAGAAAATATATTAATAATACGCATGAGGTAAGAGGAAAGGAGAAAAAGAAGAGAGCGTGTTATGTTTTTCTTAGGGGTAATAATGGAAAGTAAAAATTATTATTTATGATCGAAAGCGCTTTATATCTCGTGGTATTTATATCTCTGAGGCCAAACGACATCGTTTGTGGCCCCTGCGCATCGGTCAGCCGACGTCGGATGTGGCCTGCCCGCATCGTCCTTGGTCTGCACGCATCGGTCAGCTGACGAACATGGCTTGCCAGCATTGTTTGTTGTCTGCACACATCTGTCAGTTGACGTCGGACGTGGCCTGCCCGCATCGTCCGTAGTCCGCATGCGTTGGACGGGCGACATTGGCCGAGGTCTAGTCGACAACATGCGGATGCCCATGCCGTACAAAAATCAAAAGAGCGTGAAACATCGTTCATGCATAGCAACGTCATATATTTGGGCATTTCCATCTATTCTCCATCATTTATTCTCCACGTGTCCGTCTCACGCGGTTCATTTGTACTAATTTTCACTACTTTTACGGTTCATACGATATTGAATACTCCCTCCGTCCCTATTTAGTTGTCCATATTTCCTCTTTTAGTTGTCCCTATTTAGTTGTCCATTTTGACAAATTAAGAAAGGACAACAATTTTTTCCTATTATACCCTTATTTAAATAAAGTTGTCATAAATAAAGTAAATAAACTTATGAACTTCCCAACATTAATTAGTTATCTTGAGTTAATTTATTTTAGAATTGTAAATTGTACTATAATGGTAAAATTGTAACTTTGCTATGCTAAGTCATTGTTGCCTTAATCTGTGTGCCATTTCTAAAGTGGACAACTAAATAGGGACGGAGGGAGTATCTTTTATTTGTACAAATATGTATCAATCATTAGTTTCACATGTTGAGAAGTGTTTTATAGCATTTTCCTATTTTTCCAACTTTTATTCATATTTTGGTGACCTATTAAAGTTTCATCTAAGAACTTGTAAGAAATTAAAGAATTTTTTGTGGTGTGGCAATTCTTCAAGACGATACACATCAATTTAGTTATTTGACGTTGCTACTATTAATATAATAATTAGTACACAATAAATTAATCTGAATTAGTCCTCTTGTGCTAGAATTGACTTCTCACGCTATTTCTTTTTTAGCTCCATCAATAAATAGAAATTGAATTATTCTACAACGACGTTTTAAAACCATCTCATGTAGGTACCACTTGAATTGATTAAAAGTTTATTCAACCTCAATGAAAATTGTAATGCAAAGATTGTTTATTATTTGATGTTTAATTGTGTTAAAAATATTACATAGTCAAAACAAGCTTTTTAAAGCAAAATATAATTATTAATCTACCTAATTTAGTAATTTTAAATTATTCATGGCTAATCTCCACATTCTATTTCATAGCAAATAATATATAAGTTCTTGCCTAACAAGTACAGAAAAATATAAATTCAAACAAATAATGTAATGAATTATACACTATACAATTTTACGTAGAGATCAATAAGTTCCTCTATTTTTTCAATTAAATGTCTTTCTAATTTATTAATAGTTTCCCCTTGAATTTTTTATATTCATTTGGGACGGACTATTTTAAATTTATGCAGTGTAAGATTTATTAATAGGAGAAGGGTTTAATTTCTATTAAAATAATCAATTTATTTCAATCTAAATCTATGATAATATAGTAGAAAAAAATTAGGAAAACTTTGATATCTTTAGAAGGAACTTCATTACGTGAATAAATACTTAAGGGGCTGATGTTGAAATAAATATTCTTAAAATAGGACTAAATGTTTGGTTTTCGAAACTCAAGGACCCTAAACGACATTTACTCGACTTATATCTTCTTTTACGTTCTCCCACAGCGAATACAGAGAGAAGTTTACAGTACCCTAAGAACCGTAGCGTAGCAATGGAGTTCGTCCCTTCGGGGACATCCGATAAAATTGGAACGATACAGAGAAGATTAGCATGGCCCCTGAATCGAGAAATGGTCTAAATTTTTTTGCCGGTCGTCGGCGTTGAGCTCCGGTACAAAAATCTGCATTTGTTTTGTCGGTCGCCGCCGGCGAGAGTTCGTAAGTACTCGGAATTCCTTTCGACTGTTTTATTTCCTGTCTCCCCTAATTTAGCTGACGGCGATAAGCATATTATTGTGCCCTAGTTTTTTTTTTTTGCTTTTAAGAATCCTGATATTACTATTGCTGTGAAATTCACTCATGATACATCTGAAACATTTATGAGAATATAGGCAAATTAAGCAAATTTGAAGATAAACAGATTTTGAGGAAATGTTGTAAAGATCACTATTTGTTTAGTTTTTGCTGCATATCCTGTATTGCAAAAGTTTAAAGTATAGGTGGAAACTCAGCAAGTGTGTTACAATGTCGATGGTGTTCGATGAATATCTGGTAGCCATTATGGTTGAAGATTTATTTGTCCCTCTACAGTATAAGGTTGTTTATTGTTGAAGATAGGGGTAAGATTTGCATATACTCGAGGATCTCCACTTGTGGCAATACACTAGGTACGTTGTTGTTGATACTTGTATTTCATTGTTTTTAAACTGGACATGTAGACAACTAAGTAATAATGAATGCTGGAGTGAAATTTTATCTAAATAGGGCGCGTAGGAAACAGGGTTAAAGAATTGTAATGATCATTAAAGGTGCAATCTTTAAAGCTTTGATAAAATTATGCACATTAACTATGAAAATGTTAGGGAGAAAATTGTTCGTTATTCTTTATTTCGGCAAAATATTTGATCTATCATTCAGGCAAATTGTTTAGTTGGGGAACATGTAGAAATCATCAGTTTTGTTTGTGCCAATTCTTCCTTCATTGCTAATACACCAGATAATGGTGATACGAAAGGCGTCTACCGGACATGTTGCAGTGGTTTTCCTACATAAATGTAAAATTCTGTGACACCAAGGGAAAAAATAGCCTTTTTGGGGTCTTATAGGTGGTAACTGGATACGGTGAGAAATTGTGTTCCTCTTCCTTGGAGGAATGTTAAGGGAATTGTGTGATACTTGTGGTTTTTTGGTGGATATGTGGGATTATCTAGTATTTGTGTTGTGCTGGTGGGAGGTAGTAGGTAGTTTGATGGAATAGTCGAGGTGTTTGTAAGCTAGCCCGCAAATCATTGCCTTAAAAGAATAGCTAGTCAAAGGTGTATTACTGCATATCAGTAAGCTGTTCTAAATCAAGCTTGTTGGGAAGTATCTATGTTCTAAGCTAATGTGGATGATGTTAAGTAAGCTTTTTTCTCATCCAGTAACCTTTGTGACATAAACAATTTCCCCTCTTTGTTTAACAATGAAGTATTTCCTTGCAGCGAGGTCACTGAAGGAGGAGCCTTCCTATGCAAAGGTGAAAAAAGGGACTTCAAATGGAGGTCCTAGGGTTGTAAGAATAATACATGCCATGAACTTATGAAATTAAGATGGAGTTGAAAACTCATTTTTCTATTGCTTGTGTTTGGCCTCTATCCAGTTGGGAGGAAGATCGGATTCATAAGTTCTTATCCCGGTCTATAATTGTCTAACTGGTCGGGAGAGAGATCAGATTCGTGAGTTCCTATCCTGCTATATTGTTAGCGTTGTCTAACTTGTCGAGAGGAAGGCCAGTCATCCTCGGTATCTTGATGTAATGTATCACCTGTTTTTGTATATTAATCAAGTATCATCAGGATCGATTTCAATTGATATCAACACTTTGTGAATTGTGATGAGCCAATATGCTTTATCTGTACATTGTGTTTGAACTGCAAGATTTAATTAGTTAAAATTATTTCCTTCATGTGTTATGTTTCTATGACTCCTGAGTCCTGCTCCACTCTGAGCTGCTGAGGTCGTTTTGCTACGACACATATTGAGGTTTTTTTTTTAGTATTCAGACTTCAGTGGTATGATGTCATTTTACAGATTGGGTTCGGTGTAGGGCGAGCCACATGCAAGCTAGAATCATGTCCCTTCCACTCTTGATCGTGGGAGCACGTCACAACAACAACAAATCTAGTGTGATCCCACAAGTTGGGTATGAGGAGGGTGATTTGTACATAGACTTAATGAAGATTGTGAGCGCACGTTGAATGATATAATTCTTTTTGTATAATTTGGTCATGCACGAATGTTCATCATTATACGATGCATGTTATTTCTAATACGATAATCCAAACCGTCAATGAGAAATAATAACAAGAAAACTAATTTTAGTATAACTTGTCTTCAAACCAAACAACTTTTTTATGTGTTTTGTCTAAAGATTTGTACCTGCTTAGGGATCCAATGGATTTAGGTTGTGTCACGTACCATTTATGAAAGGGAAAAACACTTTTATTAAGACTTCTTTTTTTCCATTTTAGGACAAAATCTTATTCATCCAAAGTTCCCAATTACATCAAATTTAGAGGTATTTCGCTTGGTTAATCATGAATCAAATATTACGATGATAACTCAATTGTTTATGTTGAGTCATTAAAAAGTGTCAAAATAATATAGTACAAAAAATGAGGGAAAATTTTGACATATTCAGAAGGAGCTTCACTACGTGAATAAATACTTAAGGGGCTGATGTTGAAATAAATATTCTTAAAATAGGACGAAATGTTTGATTTTCGAAACTCAAGGACCCAAAACGACATTTATTCAACTTTTATGTTCTTTTACGTTTCTCCCACATCGAGCCCAGAGAAAAGCTTACAGCACCCTAAGAACCGTAGTGCAGCAATGGAGTTTGTCCCTTCGGGGACATCCGATAAAATTGGAACGATACAGAGAAGATTAGCATGGCCCCTGCGCAAGGATGACACGCACAAATCGAGAAATGGTCCAAGTTTTTTTGCCGGCGGTCGGCTCTGAGCTCCGGTAGACAAATCTGTATTTGTTTTATCAATCGCCGGCGTTGAGGTTCGTAAGTTGCTCGGAATTTCTTTCATCTGTTTTATTTCCTGTTTCCCCTAATTTAGCTGACGGCGATAGGCATATTATTGTGCCCTAGTTTTTTTCTTCCTTTTAAGAATCCTGATATTACTGTTGTTGTGAAATTCACTCATGTTACATCTGAAACATTTATGACTATGAACAATTAAGTACTTTATTCCACTCTCATTTGGTTTTTGGTGGATTAAGTGTGGGATTGCCCAATACTTGTGCTGGCAGGAGCTAGCATACACTAATAAAATAGTCGAGCTGCGTGCAAGCTTGCTCAGACTGTCAGACACCATTGTTATTGAATACAGTTGCGTGTTTGCTATTCAGAATCGACAATTGTTTGTAGATTCGTTCTACTATCTTTAAGCTACTTACACATTTTAGCTGCTTTTTGTGCAATGTTTTTACTCCATCCTTTTATACTTTTTAAGTCGAGTAAGCTTGTTCAAATTGTTGGTGAACTCTTTTATGATATTTCTCTCCTAGTAATGTGGCAGCGTATAAATAATTATGCAGTTCGTGGGATCTATCTCTGATTCCCGGAAGATGGTGGAAGTTGGTTCAACAGATGGACTGCAAAATGAGAAGACAATTGTAGCTAATGAAGTGTATGAACTATAATAAAATTGCTCGTCTCTTCGATGCAGCCTGTTGTCTAAGCCACTAGTTTTGTATTTCAAAAATGGGTACCACTGCTACAGCCTACATGACTATTGTGTATCCGAATAGCATAATCAAACAATCTGTTGTTTATCAAGTTCTCCCAGAAAGCACTTGTAATGCAGTAGAATATAAGCATTATTATATTCTTATGTGTTATGTTTGGGATGTTTAAATTGTGAATATCATATGGCATATGTTATTTCAGGGTACCTTCGTGATTTTACTGTGATTCTCCTAATTCTTTACCAAGTGAAGTGAATTGGAGTAGTTACTTCTTTTATTTCCATCTCATGTTTTGCTTAATACCTAGTTGAATTGTTTAATGTGGAACGCGCATTATGTTTGCCTTCGTACTTAATGATACTGCTGTTTTTCTTGGCAGATTCACAGTGGATACCTCTGTATCTAGAGGTTGTAGGCACCTCTGGAAATGTGACTACTGAGGATGTTGCTTTCATGCTTAATATAGACTAGGATTGAACACAAATTTGGATCTGATAAAGCTTACATTGGCTGGAGACTTTATTTACGATCATTTTGGGTTGGCTTTCTTGTTATGTGCCTTTGGCATGTCACTCTGTGGCGGTAGTGACTCCGCTGTGGGAAAGAACTGCTTCCTTCTTGCTTGATAGGGGGAGGGGATGCTTCCGTTCATCAGTGCAGACTATAAGTGCTCTCCGAATCGTGGTGGATAGTTACTCATCACACGGCTCAAGTTAGGGGTTGGATGTAGAATAAGAATCTTATGTTAATGAATGTTTTGTGGAAGATAAGAGTTATAGCAAGTGATGTATGTGTTGATAATTTGTAGGACAATAGCATAATGGTAATTTGTGCTTACACTCATTCACAATGGTTCATCGTGCTATTTTGGGCCTTTTTCTATTCAGTTTAAGGTGGAAATGTATCAACCTTTTATTTATTATCTTTATAATATCTTATTGGTTTTTTCTTCATATTTATTTTGATCCATATATTATAAAAATTCATAAAGAAAGACAATGATAAATTCAAATTATCAGGCATATGTCTTTCTAAATTCTAATGATAGAAGATTATTTTCGCCAAACTCGTGACTTTCTAATCACGTGACAGCAATTTTATAAATATAAATAAAATTACGCCGAAGACTAAATTCCGAATTATCTATTCCCCTGAGCGAAAATAAGAGCCTAAAACACTGCAACTTATAAAAAACTAAAAATGCTTCTGCTCTCACCTTCTTCCATTTTTACTCCTCCATCCACAAGCAGAATAAGACCTTCGCCGATCAAATCTATGGCAGTAAACAGAAGCAGCTCTGCCCCGGCGCAGCGGAGAAACGGCATGTCAGCTCTTGAAGCTCGAATCTCCCTTGTCATCGCTCTCGCCTCCCAAACCTCTTCTCTTTCTCAAAAACGTAAGTTTTTCCCTGCAATTCCTTCTTCCTCAGTTAATCGTATTTTATTAGTATTTCACTCAATTTGATTCTGTTTTTTTAGTCCTTCAACTAGTTTTGGGATGAGAACGATGTTAAATGATTGATTGATTGTTATATTGTTGGCAGTTCTGACGGAATTGGCGAGTGAAACCGCGAAATACGTGTTTCCGAAGAGGATATTCGAAAGTCGGAATTTAGAGGAAGCTTTGATGTCTGGTATACTTTTTCAATCTATTTATGATTGTTTTATTCAATGATATTTTAGATGGTTAAAATCAGTCCACGTAACTTATATCACTGTCATCTTCATGAAGTGCCGGATCTGGAGACAGTGAAATTCAAGGTGTTAAAACTTACTGATCAGTATGAGATAAGAGAAGTCGAGGTATCTGTGCTGTGACTAATTTCTATTCATACTTTTTTTTTTTCCAGTAGCATCGAGATTTATATGCACCTTTTCTGCACTTTATCACGGGGATTCGTTCTAGATGAAAGAGGAGCAATATTTGACAGACAAAAAATAAGTTTAGAACTTTCATCAAAAATATGTTGAAGATAGAGGTGGAAAACTTGTGATGAGGAAACATATCTTAGGCAAGATACATTATTTATTAAATTTGCTTGTACCAGCTACTTGTTCTCACACAAAGAATCCTTTAGTCAGTATTTCTTGATATATGGTGATTATAGTGAGTTCTCTCGAAGCGATCTAGGTTACTAATAGTATAATACAAAATAAAGCATTGGTTGGTGATTTTACTAGGTCATGTCAATAGATACAAGAGAGACATTTTGCAGATTTTGGTATAAAATTGTTTCGACGTCTTTTCTTCAAGAAATGGACCTTGTTCATATATGTTATTAACCTTTTTATGGTCATAAAAAAAAGCATTAATGGATTTCAAATAGCTGAAATGCACAATCCACTTGGAAGAGGAGAGTATTGTTGTTTGATCACTTTGTATATGCCACAACTGGAGAATGAAAGTTATAGGTAAAAGTCAGCATGTCTATGATCTATCAATAAGAAAGTAAAAGAAACAATAGGAACCTGAAAGAGATTTGGTATCCAAATTTTTTCTGGAACAGAAAGAAACTGACAGAAACAGTCTAGTGATCACAGCTCAGGAGTTCTCAATTTTGAGAAACATGTTTGCGACACTGACTCAAGTGTTAAGACATGATTAGAAATCTGAGGTGGCAGTTTCTTGAAATAAGCATGTTATGTTCTAACTTTTGTTTGATCACCTAGATTTAAGCATGTCATAAGCTCTCTCCATTCGTATTGAAGCCGTGGATCCTGTTGTTTGAAAGTCATTGACATTAAATTTTGGCAAATAATCCTTTGTGTTTAACCTGAATTCTAGACCATCAGTCACTGTGTTATCATGGTGCATATATTTCTTCTTAATAGCATTAATCTACCATACTATAGACACGCTGTATTATTAGAACTTTACTCACCGACATCTCTTTATGTTGTCATGCTGATAAAAAATAATTCCTGATTATCCTTTTAACCATCTTTCTTTTTATTATAATTTTGTTCATTTATCTAAAGTAGTATTGTGACTTTAAACAGCCTTACTTTGTTGCCGAGGCTACAATGCCTGGGAAGTCTGGGTTTGACTTAAATGGTGCATCTCAATCCTTCAACACATTGGCCGAGTTCTTGTTTGGTAAGGTAGTTGAAGGTACTTATAGAGTCAACCTTTGATCGCCTCGAACCACATTGTAATGGTGGCCTTCTTTGGCTCTGTTCTGTTTCTTGATGACTTCTAGAACACGAAGAAGGAGAGTATGGCAATGACGACACCTGTAATCACTCGTAGAACTCAATCTGATGGGGAGAAAATGGAAATGACTACTCCAGTGATAACTAAAAGGGTACAACTCTTAAACTTATCATTGTTTTTCCGTTTTAGTTCTTTTACAGCATATTATTTACTGCTTCACTCAAGACAGATGGTTTGGTTACTCTATTACACATGCTCTTTGCTCGACTCTTTTCTGTGCAGTACCTTTGTAGACATATTGTGTTTTTCTCAGGACATTGGAGATACCCTGTAAGAAGGACTACTAACATGGATATTGATGCACGGTGTTAATAAAAGTAATAAAGTGATAAAATAATGGAGTTGAGTCACTACATAACTGGAGAAATGATAAATGAAGAACTACTCTAATAATGACCTCATGTTGCCAAATGGAAATGCTGACTTTTACTGATTCTATTGGGAAAAACAACATCATCTAGTTACCTAATTCACAAGGAAAACACATTTACGTTCTTGATGTGGATTTGATAAAAGCTGAAATGTATTTTAGATGGGATTTGAGGATCTTTCAATTGTGTGCTAGGCCTATATGCCAGATCAGGTACATATGAAATATAAACATTGTGGCTTCTTATTGTTTGAACCTGTAGTATTCTTGGATGGTACTATTACAAATCCATATCTAGGAGAATGGGAAACTATTAGATTCTACATTTTGATTATGTTGCACTATGTTGCTCGGACCCTCTAAAAATGCTGACACGCCTGTGTTGGATCCTCCAAAATGTATAGCTTTTGGAGAATCCGATACACACTTGACAGTAATTTTGAAGGGTCCCAACAACATAAGTGTTGCATGGTTCCTTCATTGCCTTGCCGTACCTGTCCTGAGGGTGTGACTTGAGTGTTGGGTACTTCTTTCCAATTTTTCAAATTACACTAATAATTAAAGAAAAAACTGCACGAACCGCTGTCAGATACTTGCACGCACGCATCTGATATGTGCCTATAGGCTAGTTCGTGTATTGTAGATGTCCAACCTTAGTTCCAGAACAAGTTTAGAATGGAATAACAGTCAGAGAGAACAATCTTCCACATTATAAAAATTATATGTCTGAATAAATATACACATCTAATCCTCTATACAAACAATAACACATTTTTCTAGTCATTCATAAATGGATATCTGATAACAACATTTTGAAACATAAAAACCAATATTTTGTGGAAATAGGCACTCCCTTAGAGATAGGTTGTGTGTCTCTCTGGTTATGCTATGTGGAGACATCCTATAAGAATTTCTTGCTCCGAGAAACTTCAAAACCAGCATTATTCCATTCTAGAAAAGAAAAAAATCACTTTAATTTATGTCTGATCCTATGTTTTAGTGATTAACACTCCCACAGCCCACAGCCCACCCCATCCCCTCCAAAAAGGAAAAAAAAGATAAACATTGTGTATATAGTTGTTATATTTATTTTCTGCTCTCGTATTTTCTCAAAAAATTACACCTACTGGAATATCATTAAGAATTTCATTAGGCGGAAGATCAGGAAAAGTGGAGGATGTCCTTCGTCATGCCCTCCAAGTATGGTTCGGACTTGCCACTACCGAAGGATTCCTCTGTAACTATCAAAGAGGTACCTCGGAAAACTCTCGCTGTTGTTGCTTTTTCAGGTTTGTAACTTCATATTTTAGTATGTCAATACAAAGTTCAAGATGGAATGTTAAGTTTTCTTGAAATTCAACATCTGTAGTCAGAAAGCTGGGATCTGTCTCATTGGTTTATAGAAGTAGATCTTGGTAAAGTTACTTAGTACTTTATTGATCGATTCACTTATCATGATATGATGGAAACTTGTACATAGTTGTATATCCGTTTCTTTCTTTAATGTCCTATAAGCCTGCTGTGACGAATGGCGGTGATCAATTCAGAGTTCAAAAGAAAAAACATTTAGTTATTCTGTTTTTCAAGTTTTGTATCCTAACATAGCTAGCCCTCTCTCATTTGATTCCAATGAAGGTTTTGTAAATGACGAAGAAGTTAAAGCGCGAGAATCAAGACTTCGAACTGCACTAAAGGGAGATGCAGAGTTTCAGGTAAAAGATGGTGCCTTGGTAGAAGTTGCACAGGTATATTTGCAGAACCATTTCAATTACACTTACAATATCTCCTGGAGAACATATTTTGACCTAGTGCAACTAAAGTAACTCACTAACTGCATATTTGTTATAATATATACTTTTCTTGCAGTATAATCCACCATTTACTCTTCCTTTCACACGTCGGAATGAGATTAGCCTGGAAGTTGAAAGGAAACAGGAATAGCTAGACAGTGTGCTGTATATTGAGATAAATCTGTTCACTAATGTATAGAACTAGAGAAGCAAAACTTCGCCAGTATTCATTCTAGACGTATATAGCGTGTATATGTATATCATATTGTATTATACACCTTGTATATATATATTTCAGGCGATTGCTTGACCTTTTAATACTAGGTTATGTACATGCACCATATTGCTCCTACTCTGAAAATAATAAGACACTTTGTCTTTTGTACTCTTAGCGAATTCGCGATCATCCATTGGGTTCTGTATCATTAAGCATATCTTGGGTAATATTATTCATTTTCCGGAAGATATTATGTTTTTTTCCAGGGATTCTACTGAGATTTATGTTGCTCGGGCTTTTCAAATATACTACCAGGTGTGTGTGATAAAAGCTATGCATTT